TATGTGGACTCTATGCAAATAATCCTAGTATTTTGACTCATTTTTTTCAAATTAAAACTATTTTTCTGCATAAAATTTAAGGCGTATTTTTCTTTGCTGTTTTTCACAAGTTTTCTTTGCGACTTTCCGAGATACTTTGTATCAATAAATAACGATTTTACCATTGTGAGATTATAATTATCCACAATTATGATTTCTGAAACATTCAAATGCGCCTACTTCTAGTGTTTGCATACCGGTTGTATATATTTCGCTGAACTTTGACAACCTTTGGAAAGTAGAAATATAGATCTAGATTCTAGACTAGATGGTCTGATTCGTTTAAAATTAAAGATTATTGCAATAACGTAATAAATCCCATATTTCCAGAAATTCGCTAGCAATCTGCGAACAATTAATTACTAATCTAGATAGTAATCTAGATTGTAATCTAGATAGTGAGGCCGAATAATGCAAAAGTCTTCATCTATTTTCGTACCGTTAATCTGAAATGTTAATCTCATGTAATTTATTGCGCGGTGTTAAAACTTACAAATGTAAATAAGATATTCGAACCTTGGGCGTCGTGCTTCATAACCAGTTTTGTTCCACGCGGATACGAGAGAAACAGCGACGTACGCTTTCTTACTTACAATTGATGACGTCGGCCATTAATCGACAAGCCTGTTGTCGCCCAGGATCTCCGCTAATAGTGAATGACGGCAGCGTACGACGGTGACCGGGCTTCGAAAACTGCCATTTCATTTTGAGCGCTGCGTGTCTGCTTAAGCATTCTTGCTTTAGTTTTTTTTTTATCTAATATTTAAAACATGTTCACTAAAATTCCCAATACTTTAACTTTACCAGTTTGTTGATTATCGAGATGAAATATGGCCTGTTCGAAAAAAAGAGTATTTTCTTCTGAGAAGGTATCGTTTTCGGAATTTCATTTTTTAACTTGGTTATCGAGAAAATGGAGAAAAATTGTGAGAAAACTTGAAATTTCCAGTTATCAGCGCGTGTTTTCGCTTCTGCCATGGAAACGAAACATTAATCCGGACTTTTGATGAAACGCACATTACTAGGATGAATGTATAATGTGAGAAATTTAATCCGGGTGGGTCCAGTTGTTCAGACACTACATCTGAAAATACATACTAAACGACTGAGAACAATGGTCTCCTAGAGCGGAGATATAATAAATTGTGTACTCGAAATATCAAAGTTATCGCGAGACATAATCTTCATAATTGGGCGACGTAGACGTGCAAGATCGCTATCTGTTTATGTTGCTGATTTTATACGAATGTCAGGTCTAAACAATATGAACGAGATTCCACCCTCAGAAACATGTATAATGAAAGCAAAATTTGTTGGTTTGATTCAGCAAAAAATTTCAGTTGACTCTGTAAACATTACGACTCTCTTTCGAAATGCTGTTTAAAAACAGTAATTTGCTTTGCGAAGATAAAAAAAAAACCAAGTAACTCCAAAACTTACAATTGGTGTTTACAAGAAACAATGTTTCGCTAAGTCTCGTGAAATATAACGATAATCGGTAACAAGTAGTACCAATGCAATAATCTGATAAAAATAAAACATTCAAACGAGACCACGAGGAGAAATAACATCCAAATAAACACGACGCAGCTATTTTCTCTTATCTTTTATCATAACGGGATGTGGTGAAGAGGTGGGCGTGTATAAGATTGAAGGTCTATAAATAACTGTTGATGTAATAAATGTAATTAAAATATACGTCTGATAACAGCACATTTAAAATTTTTCATGATTAAAAAGGTATAACATGAAACATACTAACACCTTGAGAGAAAAGGGGTAGGGGATATCCACACGATCCTCAAAAGTAAAGATAAGATCTGAAGCCAGATTTAATGAACTCCTAAATAAAATATGAAATTTCGGGTTTGCTTCGGACTCGGGCCTGCGAATCCAGTCATTTAGTCGGGGTCGGGTCGGGTTTAATACGGCCAGGCTGGAAATTTTGGACCCGATCTTACCTATAGTAGAGAGGACCCCCAAACCTACCTGTGGTGGGGGAGGTTATACATCTTAATAGGATCACTTTGAGGAGGCAACGATCTCTATATAATACTGTGCAAGATATAGATTTACAGTGCTTCTACATTTTTACCAACCACGACTTATCTTTTGAAATGTATGCATCGCCGTGTACGAAAGATATCGGTTATCCCAAACACGGTAGCAGTGCCAATCTAGAGCAGTGGTTCCCAACCTGGCGGATATGTAGCATGAAAAGAAATTACCTCGCGAACCGGCAACAGAATATTGAAATGAATGAAAGCGAGAATAGTAACTTGCTTTCTACCGATTCCCTTTTTGTTACTTACAGTTTTCAACTCGAAATGAAAATCCTGAAACGAAATTGTAGGAACGTAGGCCGAATCACGAACTTAATGGAAACGTAACTTGACGTTGCGACGTAAGCAATCGATTACTATGGTAAAAAAAAAAACTGGATTGTAGATGAAGGACCGCGGATAAAAATAAATTACAAACAGCCACGTTCAAAGTTCAGCTTGGAATCTTCATTTTCTAAAAAAACAAGCGTAATACAATGCACCGTGTTTAAAGTTTCAAATTCACGGATGTGATGTTTCAATTACGGTTCAACTCAAATTTTTTATCATAAACTAAATCGAAAAATTCAAATGGCGTGAAGCAAATTCATTTGCGTAGTAGAGTTAGTGACAACGCAAACTTTGGTTAAAAGAATTAATTCGGAACGCCCCGAGCAAATGTAACAAGTTCTCACTATAGGCACGATATTGTGATTTGAACCTAACGGATAATGCGTGATATAACGGAGAAGCATAACTTACTACTAAGTTTATTTTTATCAGTTTTTATATTGAACTGCAACTACAATATTCAATGGCTAAGTTATTACAATCTACGTTAACGAAGTATGATATTTGTAAAGAATCTTTGTTATAATTTTTGAGAAAACAAGCTTTTTATAAAAAATAAATGAGTTTCTTTGTGTTTCGATAAAATATCACGAGTGTGCCATTCATTCCCCCTTTACACTAGATGTGAATGCTTACCTTTTTACTTCTTTTGAGATTGATTTATACTGGTTGGAAAAAATAATTTGATTGGCGTGAATTTATTTCACACCAAATATGAGAGTTTTCAGGTCGGTGAATAAAGGTTTAATATTCGGATATTTGGTAAAAAGCCTCGGCCACTCATGCAGAAATGAGAGATTTGAGAACACCCCAAAAATTTTTTTAAGTACTGTAGACTGTGTTCGTCACGTTTGGGTTAGAGTTGACAATTTATTAGCTGACATCGCTGAATCCCATAGCCGGAAAAAAAAATTCTAGCTGGGGCAGGGGTGAACTTTTATGTGGACTCTATGCAAATAATCCTAGTATTTTGACTCATTTTTTTCAAATTGAAACTATTTTTCTGCATAAAATTTAGGGCGTATTTTTCTTTGCTGTTTTCCACAAATTTTCTTTGCGATTTTTCGAGATACTTTGTATCAATAAATAACGCTTTTACCATTGTGAGATTATAATTATCCACAATTATGATTTGTGAAACATTCAAATGCGCCTACTTCTAGTGTTTGCATACCGGTTGTATATATTTCGCCAAACTTTGACAACCTTTGGAAAGTAGAAATATAGGTCTAGTTTCTAGACTAGATGGTCTGATTCGTTTAAAATTAAAGATTGTTGCAATAACGTAATAAATCCCATATTTCCAGAAATTCGCTAGCAATCTGCGAACAATTAATTACTAATCTAGATAGTAATCTAGATAGTGAGGCCGAATAATGCAAAAGTCTTCATCTATTTTCGTACCGTTAATCTGAAATGTTAATCTCATGTAATTTATTGCGCGGTGTTAGAACTTACAAATGTTTAATAAGATATTCGAACCTTGGGCATCGTGCTTCATAACCAGTTTTGTTCCACGCGGATACGAGAGAAACAGCGACGTACGCGTTCTTACTTACAATTGATGACGTCGGCCATTAATCGACAAGCCTGTTGTCGCCCAGGATCTCCGCTAATAGTGAATGACGGCAGCGTACTACGGTGACCGGGCTTTAAAAATTGCCATTTCATTTTGAGCGCTGTGTGTCTGCTTAAGCATTCTTGCTTTAGTGTTTTTTTATCTATTATTTAAAACATTTTCACTAAAATTCCCAAGACTTCAACTTTACCAGTTTATTGATTATCGAGATGAAATATGGCCTGTTCGAAAAAAAGAGTATTTTCTTCTGAGAAGGTATCGTTTTCGGAATTTCATTTTTTAACTTGGTAATCGAGAAAATGGAAAGAAATTGTGAGAAAACTTGAAATTTCCAGTTATCAGCGCGTGTTTTCGCTGCTGCCATGGAAACGAAACATTAATCCGGACTTTTGATGTAACGCACATTACAAGGATGAACGGGTGGGTCCAGTCGTTCAGACACTACATCTGAACAGACATACCAAACGACTGAGAACAATGGTCTCCTAGAGCGGAGATATAATTAATTGTGTACTCGAAATATCAGAATTATCGCGAGACTTAATCTTCATAATTGGGCGACGTAGACGTGCAAGATCGCTATCTGTTTATGTTGCTGATTTTATACGAATGCCAAGTCTAAACAATATGAACGAGATTCCTCCCTCAGAAACATGTATAATGAAAGCAAAATTTGTTGGTTTGATTCAGCAAAAAAACATCAGTTTGATATTGTATTACTATATGTTCTCGTAAGCCGCACTTAAATACTAACTGACACTACAGTGCCGTTATGATTAACTTTAAATTTGGACAATGTTTGGTTTTTTAATGTTTTTGAAATTTAGTTTTTATGAGAAGATTTTTTTCAGACGTTTTTATTGAAGTATTATGTAAGTCATCAAATTACCTTTTTTTGTGATAATATTGGGGTAATTCCTATTGGGTTGTATTAATGCTCAGACCACTTATTATGTCGTTTTATTGATTTCATTTTTATTAACATTCAGCAACATGCACAAAAACCATGGATTGTCCGGGAAATAAAATTTGCTTCCCATCTCAACCACCGCCGTTTTCTTGTTTTTGTCCAATTGGATTTACTGGAGATGATTGTATGGAACGTGAGTATTCGAATTCTTGTTTGTAGCCTGACTGGTTGAGGTCTTAATTCCAGTTCGCTTTGTTGAATTTGATGTTTCAAAAAAATGTACCAAAGTATACCGTTTTATAATATATATATATATTTCATATTATTTCATATATATTGTTCATGATCTTATTAGTGAGCAATGGTTCCCAAACGTTGGGGCTCGCCCTACAAGGGGACGTAAATAATTTTTCGAGGAGGCGTGAAGCTAATTAAAAATAAAAATATTAATTCGATTTGATCGCAATTTGATTTTCTTGTTTTTCAAACTTTTCGTTTATTCCATTATGTACGTATTTTCTACGTTTTTTGAGTAAAACATACTTTCGCCTTACTATCTGTTATTTGTAGGATTATTGTGAGCTAGTTGTTTTTAGGTGGGGCGCAAGAATTGACATATTCTAAAAAGGGGTCGCGGTTGGCACCATTAGTCAGCATAGTTTGCACTCGCTAGATGGCGCTAATTCGCCATCTATATGAAAAAATCCTAATGGAAAAGTTCGGTTTTCAGTAAATTGATTATAGCAAAATGGTGTTGGAAAGAACAAAATTGCATTAAAAAATGCCCCTAAAATATCATAATGGCTCTCACCATTTCTCTAGTTTCTTTTGGTAGTCTGTTTTTTCTCTAGTTTCTGTTGTTTATCTGTTTTTTATTTTAATGGTTGTTTTAAGTTGAGTTCTTATATATTTGTTTCTTCGCGTGTAGTTTACTTCGGTGATTCAGCATCAAGGTGTCGCTGACTGGATGACTCATTGAGTCTTTGGCGACCATTTTTCAACCGCTATGAGTCACTATTTCCGTTTTGTTAGTTTTTTCTTATATGTGATTATTGCCTTACATTCTGGCGCGATGAAAATAAATATCTGAAATCTGACAAATTTTAATGTTTACCACCAGGAGAGGCAGGCAACGACGACAGATGTCCTTTTCCGGACGATCCAGTCGATCTTTGCGACATATCCGAAATATTCCATGAATGTTCCGTTGACGATCCAAGTCGCAAGTGTCCGGATGGAACAATTTGTTGCTTAGGATCAGATGCATGTTCATTTAAATGTTTTCCAATAGGTAAGTATTATAGATAATAGTGCTTTTCGGTCAATACTGTACTTGCTTTATAATGATTATTAAGAAGTTAGGGTAGGATTTACATATTCATCCCGGTGAGAGGAAAGCCGTTAAGACGGCTTAATCATGTGGAGAACCACGGGCGCTCGTCCGGTTACTAGTAGGGCTGGGCATTTCGAATCGAATATTCGAATCGAATAGTAAATTATTCGAATCAGTTCAGAGCTAAATTTCGCATTGCCGCCATCTTGTTTTCTTCTTTTCACCAATGGTCGAGGTGAATTCCCCAATTTTTTTTTCATTGAAGTCATATTTTTTCAACGCAATTCTGACGTATGACTTTTTTCTGTAGAGAGTTATTGATAAAACGTGTTTTTTATTGTGTGTGAATGCTCAGTAATCTATCTGAGTGATGTATTCTATGTCTTTGGTAATTCATTTGTTAGGAGGACCAATTACTATAAAAAGTCGTCTACAATTATATATTTCTAAGTATTCGAGATTCGATTCGAAAAAATTATTCGATTCGATTCTGAAATCACAAGGTATTCGAAAATGCCCAGCCCTAGTTACTAGTCTATGTCGGGCATAGGATTTGTTTACCAGTTAATCAATTTCCGATGCCTTGCACAAACGTGTTAAATGTACAAGAAATACAACGAGAACAAAGTGGTATTTTTACAGTCTAGGAACATAATCAACATAGAAAACGAGATAGCGATCAGAGACCTCCGACCCATGGATCTTCCGCATGTTCAGTTAGGGGATCCCCCAAAACAGAAACAGCGGGTTGATTCCTTCGCTCTGACTCAATAGTGACACCACTTGTCCCATCACTAATTAAATAATAACTCGCTAATTCTACGACATAATTTATTTAATATTTTAGCAAATACCGAGTAGGCCTATTGTTTATACTCCTTAAGGAGAATACTGGAAGACTGAAATCTCGGTAAAACGGGGCGTTTTCTACATTGTAATTTTTATCATAATCTCTGATCGTTTTCTGTCACCGCGATCGTTTCTGCGGCCAGCATCCAAATTAATGTTGGTAAACCATATAAAAGCACGTTTTCCCTATTTTAAGTAGTAATTTTCGCGCAAGAGCGGACATCGAATATTGGTTTTTATATTTCAGGCACTTCACATCGGCGAAGTTAAGACAGCTATTAAGGGTGAATTCATATAACAGATTAATTTTTTGTGATTTTTATCGTTAGCGTTGGATTTGATCTTCCATATCAGTTTGTAAATTACGGTTCCAATTTTGAGATAACAATATTATGATTACTGATAGCGAAATGCTGGTATTCATTCATTTATCGTTTCTGTCTGTTGGTGAGAGTCGTAGGTAAACTCTTACTAGTAACTCTTCTTGTGTTTTGAATTGATGTTAATAAAGTCTATTTTGTTTTCAATGCGCCGTGATTTGAATTAATTTAAATGATGATGTCGGGTGTTTGAAAAGAAAGTCCCGTTATCACGTAACGCCTTTCTCCTTTTGTGCGCCCAAATATACGCTTTCTCACTTACTGAATTACAATCAACTATTATGCATTCTCGTATTTCGCGTATTCGACAATCACGATTGGAGGTTTTCAAATGTCTAGGAATAAATATTTTTCTGTGATATCATTATAAGATACATTCCTTCGATGCCGCGACAGTTGCCAATTCTTTATCAAGAGACTTTATTATTTATCACTTAATTCTGGTCATCGGTTATCAATAATCGGCATGGACGTAAAACGAGCCATGGAATTTTTGAAATAAATAAAAGTAGTATCATTCTTTAGCAAAATATACAACTTTTAATCACTGAAAATTGCAAATCAATTGGTCCAATAGTTAAAGAAAAAAGTATTTAAACTTCGCGCGCAATGTGCCCATTTAGAAATTGTAATGTTGCATTCCAGTCTATTCTTCGTCTCATCTAGATACTAAAAGAGAGCTCAATGAAATCAAATAAAATTATTATGTTTATTTATATTTATGCAGGCTGTAAAAAATCCGTTAATATTAAAACATGCACCGACCAGAAGAAACTCTGTGTGGTCGACGATTCTACCGACGGCTTTAAATGTCGATGTCCAACCGGCTACGACGGATACATGTGCGCCAGACGTAAGTTTTCAATATTATTGTTATTAATTCAGATTCAATTTCTCAGCATTTTGTGGTATTCTTTCCCATCCAGACTGCGTTGTGAAATTTTATTTGAAACAAGTCAATGCGATTAATTGATTGAAAGTCTTGTATTCCAGAAATATATAATGATATTCTTTAGATCTCAAAGTGCGATTAAATTGATTAAAAGTCTCGTATTCCAGAAATATATAATGATATTCTTTAGATCTCAACGTGATCCGTATGGAGCCCTAGGGCTCCGTGTAGGGAAACAGGGGCTCCGTGAGCTACACGTATACTTGCTAAAATACTGACTTGGGTAATTTTGGGAAATGTCCTAACAGCAATAACGGCATTAATGAAATCTGACAACGGTAACGGTGAAATGTGGCAACGAGGCATTAACTAGTCCGAATAAATATTTAATATTGTAAATTTATTGAGGGGCTCCGTACATAATTGTTAACCCATTCACGGGCTCACCAGTAGCTTGATTTAAGGAACAACTTCATATCAAAACAGTTGGCAAAAGCTAGAAAATACTACCCGAATTCCATTGCAAAACCGCTTTTAGGCGAAAACAACGGTAATTTCAATTATTTGGATCTTCAAAATACATCCCACTTGAGAGGTATAAATTTAATTTGAAAGAATAATTCTGGGCGCTCCTGAAGTATGTTTACGAATATGGAGGTAACTAATTTTGTCAGCCTACTTTACATCAAGTTGTGTGAAGAGACTGACCCCTATGGGCAGGGGGTATATTCGCTTGGCTAAAACAGACAGTCCCAAAACTCGTGATATGACTAAAATAAAGAAAATCGAAATAAAATTATGCCCTAACCTGGTACACATACTACGGGAGTACCTAATTCTATTCATAGGCTGCGTTTCACTGGACCGTTCTGGTGTGCGAAGCTGTCCGTGTTGGTTAAACCGTTCTGCAATAACAAATTACACTAAGAAAGAAAAGGGAGAAATAAGAAAGAAAAAAGAGGAGTTATTTTGAAAAAATTATCGCAGAGCAAATATTATTTTTAAATGTAATGAGAGGTTTGGCCTACAAAAGCATCGAATTTTTAAGCGCTATAGCGAGACCCTATGTTTTGCGCAAAGAACATTCCTCGAATTTTTTCTGTGTTTGGCGAGAGCCTTCCAGATTATTTAGACATATGAAAGCTTAGTAAATTTTCATTCTTCATTAAGGGTTTCACGGAATAGATAAGAAATGTCCATTTCCCGAAGTTCCTGGAGATTCTTGTTATGAGATTGAAGACCCGACCTGTACGGGAGCTGACGATTGTGAAGACGATAAAGTATGCTGTTCAACAGGTTGTGGAACAGCTTGTGTGGATCTTTCAGGTAAGCGATTAGAACATTTAATAGATCTAAAACAGTTTGAGTAAAGACGCGACTTTAGTTTATTTAGCCAGATGCTTTTACTTGAAGATAAAAGAGTGCCTTCATAGAAAAATTTCGGAAAAATGCGCTCCTATTTTTTTCTTTTTGTGCGTCTGGTCAACCACACGCACGTCTGCACTGTCAGCTCTACGGCGCCGCGGACAAAATTGCTTTCCAGCCGTGGGCTATGAAATCAGAATATCACTAGTTAGATATTTTATGCGGTACGCACCGTCAATATCAGTAGTTTCAAAACTCTAGAAGTCTGACTTTTTGAATTAGATATTAGAACCTTGGGTGTCGCTGCTTGATAACCAGCTTTGGCCTTCCGCGACTTCCCTTACCCAGTAAAACTGTGTAAATTATCATTTTCTCGTAATTTGGGCTTGTGATATTTTTTTACTGGTTGGAAAAAATAATACTACCGAAAAGAGAATTCGGAAGTGTTGCCAGCCACGTTGCATTCATTTAGGGGTTTTTAGAGGTGTGTTATCGTGCTTTGAAATGATAAAACTCGGTAACAGTCGCGACCCAAATTTGAGATGGGGGTTTGGTCATTCTGAATCAACTAGAAATGTGTTTTGTATGTATTTCGGTTCTAGTCTTATTAAAAAGATTTTTGTATTCTAACTAATATCAATAGTGTTGTTTTATCTAAGAGGTAATAGTATTCCAACTATTAATAACAGCGTTTTTCTAGCCAGCTGATCTTAAGGTAATATGAAGGCGCTTTGTGACAAATAACTGTGTGCTTTTTCGCTAGACAATCTTGTACACTAACCCTCTACAAGTCAAAGTTAACCCATTTTTGGCAATATGTAGCATATCGCGATACATTAAAAGCTATTGGGCATAGTTAGATATCAGGAATCTTTCGTACAAAGCTCCCGCCAAAAAAACACCTCCGCCCACGCTCAATATAGGGAAATTGAAGTCGTAGCAAGGGAATTAAAACCCCCGAAATGACAGACCTTTGACTTTTTTATTATGCAGAATTGAACTATCTATGTTTAAATTTTCGAGGTAAAATAAAATACTTAACCAAAATCTACTTTTATTTCAGATAAGAAACCACCAAAGATTTCAAAATTCGTTCTAATTGCACTTCTAATGGGTTTAACAAGTCGTCCCAAACAAGCTGTACAAAAACCACCAATTGTACAAGTAGGACCGTATGCACAAGCAGCACCACATGTACCATATGTACAAGCAGCACCACATGTACCATATGTACAAGCAGCACCACATGTACCATATGTACAAGCAGCACCACATGTACAAGCAGCACCACATGTACCATATATACAAGTAGCACCAGCACCCGTACCAGTGATACAAGTAGCACCAGCACCCGTGTCAATTACTCCATCATTTACAGGTACTAGAGACAAAAATACCATAGGCCTACTTTTTATTTGGTGATTTTTTTGTGTGTTTTATTATAGTCCCCTTTCTGTTATAATCAGGGCTGTGTTTGATGAGTTTCAACAAGAAAAAATATTAGTTTATAAAAGCATTTAAGTTTCAATTGTTGCCCTACTCACCAACTTGATGATTGAGATACACAATCCCGACCACAATAAGTAGGAATTCGACTAACTGTGCATGCGCGCATTGCCCACAGTTTCTCACAAAAATAAACTTACCAAATGGTGAAAAAAGAACACGTTTTATCGAGATTAATTTCACTAATCTACAACAATCATGAAACGCTCTTGATAAACAATTGGAGAAATGGCTAATCCCAGTTTAGGCTGTGGAGTGTGCAGTCGTAGATTATCGTTTTATCAATTTCGTATATGGAAAAATAAACTTAAGTATGACTATATCTTATTCTAGAAAGTCGCAAATACACGGGATTCTTAATTCTCCAGATTCTGAATTGAAACATAATAAGTGATAAAATTAATCAGATCTTTTCAAATGCACTCAAAATGCTTTAATAAGCGTTGTTAACATTTTATTAAGGAAGGCTTGCGTTCGCCAACATTTTAGTAGTTGAAATTTAATTTCTCGGTGTTCAGAGCTGGTGTCAAAATTTTTAAGCCCGATGGTACTTTTGTAGTAGGCGACCAAAATGGCGGATCCCGGAACGTAGTATATATATGTACCAAGTTGGGGTTAGGTCATAATTTTATTCTAATTTTCCTTATTTTAGTTCCATCAGGAGATTGGGGACTAGCCAAATGACTCCCGTAGTATTTGTACCTGAAATTATGGCATAACCTTAACCTGGTTTCACATACTACGTTCCGGTGTCCGCCATCTTGGTTCACATACTACGGGAGTACCAATAAATCAGATCTTTTCAACTACACTCAAAATGCGTTAACTTTACTAAGCGTTTTTAACATTTTATTAAGGAAGGCTTGCGTTCGCCAACATTTTTGTTATTGAAATTTGATTTCTCGGTGTTCAGAGCTGGTGTCGAAATATTCCAGCCCGATGATCAATTCCGCGGAACACCGGTTGAAAATGGCTGGTCTAGAGAGATAATAGCATACTACAAAAGTCACATACAAGCACATATCTTCCAAGTATTGGAAGTTTAATTAAAAAAAATAAAAATATTAGATTTCATTCGGAAATTATATCGGGTATTCGAATATGCCCGACCCAACTTCTGACCCCACAGATGAGAGAAGTAGGAATAATATGTCTGTCACTTTGCTGTGCCTGGGATCAGAGTTGAGAAATTGGGTACTTTTGTAGTATGCGAATTAAGATGGCAGTCACCGGAACTTGTATATATATGTACCAGGTTTGGGATCGGTCGTAATTCTATTCCAATTTTTCTTATTTCAGTTCTATCACAAGTTCGGACACTAACCAAGTGACTCCCGCAGTATTTGTGCCTAAAATTATGGCCTAACCCTAAACTGGTACACTACGTTTCATGTCCGCCTACTAGGGTTAGCTATATTCAAATACCCGATATAATTTCCGAATCGAATCTATAATGTTTTTTTTAATTAAACTTCGAATACTTGGAAGATATGCGCTTGTATGTGACTTTTGTATTTGTAATATTATCTCTCTAGACCAGCGATTTTTAACCAGTGTTCCGTGGAATACAGGTGTTCGTGTCAATTTTTTTCTCGAATATTTTATGAAAATTGAAAAAATGAAAAGCTAATGAAAACATATCCAAAATTTAACCAGTCTCATACGGATTCTCAATAATGGTTTGAGAATTGACTCGTTGTCGTAATATCAGGCATCATTGGTTAGTTTTCCTCGATCAAGATAGCCGCGATTCGCAATTTCTATTCAATTTGAAATGCCCAGCCCTAGTCAGAAGTAGTTTTAGTACGATTCGACCAGTAGTATCTTTGAGTAGGAAACAAAATTAACATTTTCAAAAATGTTTTTTCTCTCTGTAATATTACTGGTAAGCGAAGCATTTTCTTCACGAGACATATTCTTATATTATTTTTTCGTTTGATATATTTTAGGTGCAGCATGTGGTCATGGTGAGGCTCTAATTCATGGATGTCCAGATGTATGTCAAGGTGCTCGCTGCGTGAATTATGGGTCTGCAACTTGTAGAGTTCACTCTTGCAATGGGTGCACTGCAAGGTGGTACAACCACCAGGGACATGATGTCACAGCATACTGTGTTCAAGTCGTGGGATAAGGAATGATAGAAACATAAATGCTAACGGTGAAAACTGCTACGGAATTATGATCTTAAATTAATTGAAGAAGCAACTAAATGTAAACTTTGACACTCAAAGATAATTTACCAGAAAGCACTGAAAGTTTGAAAAGTTCAACATTTTGATTTAAAAAACTTGGAAATTGTAAAAAACAACAAGCTATCATTTCAGTGAAAACGTTCAGTATCTGCAACAGCCGTGGTTGTTTATTAATATTGTAATGTAATCGATAAAAGATTTAGTGATTCATATGTTGTATATTTGGACCTACTGAAGTATGCGTACCAAGATGACGCACAACCTGAACTCAGGTTGTGTACCGGGTCGAGGTTCAGGTTGTGCAACATCTTGGTGCGCATACTTCAGGAGTATCGTACATTTTAATAAATGCATTGTTTGGTGAAGCATTCGTTGTCACAGGAGTTGCTTTTGGGTAGTTTTATTGCGCATCTGTTCTTGAATAAAAGTCGCAGCATGATTTGGCAATCTTATCATAAGGCAGAGTAGAACACAGCAGCGGACCGAGCTTTACCTGCTGCACAGTTTAGAAAAAAAATTCATATTTATACTGGAAATTAAAATTCATAAGACGACTTGATCACAGTAATCAGGTGACAAATCACGACTTCGTAGTCACTAATCCTACCATACAAAAGTCCCGCTTGAGAAATATATTGGGTACTCCAGAGTTCGGGGACTAGCCAAGTGACCCACCGGTAGATGGCGTACTACGCGTCTCACGGACCGCTTGACTTAAAACAATCAATGGTTTACAATAATTTTCGTTAAATCCCCCCCTTCGCCTATTTGGCAATGTAAGCGTGGTATAATACTACGCAAATAATGAGCCAGTTTCTTCTTAGGGTATTTCACTGAGCAAAAAATAGTACATGTGCCCCATGAACGTAGCATTATGATAAAATACTGGCACCGCACTCCACCCACCACTGGACTTATAATAGTGAAGGTCCATTGGTGTGTTGAGATACTATACCCATCGCTATATATTGATTGATAGGTCTGATTGTCCTTGGCCTTGTTTTGAGCGGAAACTTACAACTGTGTGGTACTTTACTTCAACCATCAATGGGCGTAAAATAATAAATCTTTATGAGTCTATTATTTATTCTGGAACTTCCAAATGTTCCTAACAAAATTTGGGGGTTGCAAAACGTATATATATTTCACTCAAAGAACTATATCTATTGTTATTCTGCGGGGATTTTGATTCGAAACACAATTTATAAAACTAGTGAAAATTAGAAATCTTACTATTTCGAGAGAATACATAAGGTCAGGGAAACGGCGCGCTTGCATAACAGTGCCGTTTTAATAGGGGTCGCGCAAAATTTAAATATGTTAGAAGGGGTATCGGGATCAAAAATTTGAGAAGCTCCTATTTATTCTACACACATTGCTATATTCAAATCAATATGCCCAAAACTTCTTTGGTTAGTGCTTTGCTCTGAGGAAAAACGTAGACTATGAAAAAAACTGTAAACGTCGAATTAAAAATATACGCATGCATGATCTTATCACTCTATATCTAGCGATAGGTGAACTGCACAAACTACAACTTTAATACTGAGGCCTTCGTGAACGTTCATCAATAATACTTGTTTTCTTGATCGCGATTCCTATTTATTTTAAGCTCTGCGTAATAATATCAATCGCCAGAGCAAGTGAATTTTATTACTTCGTCCCCATTACTCTATCTATCGATTGATATTTATTGGGCGTGTGTGGCTTTTTGTACGCGGTCACCGCCTCACCGACAGAAGGAACGTCTCTTTGCCTAGCAAGCTCTATAATAATTTTCTTAAATGATATATTCGGAAAAGACAATTGTAAATATTTCTAGGTCCCCCCACTAAAAAAGAGATCTTTTGTACAAATGCCCCGCCACTAATGCAAAATGTGAGATTTGAGAATAACATCCCCACCACGTTTAAAAATACTAATGGCTAGATGGGTATTTGCTAAGAGTTAGGACTGATTAGAAAATTTGAGTTTTTATCACAATCTGGATAACTAACCCTACAATTACATGGATAATTACTAAAGTTCTTATATTGAGCGTTGGTGAGGGCTTTGTACAAAAGATCCTATAATCCTGATCGGCTATTAATGAAGGGTAAAATGACAGCATTGTTACTATCCTGCTAGAGCGTTATCATTCTGACAAACCACGCTTCAACAATTCTTAAACATAGACAAACATGTAAACAAATCACTTCAAAATAAGATAATGTTAACTGAATTTCGCCAAGGGACTAAAAATTACGATAGAAACACTTTCCTGACTCTATCTCGTGTAGTACAACGATAGCGAAATACCTATGATTTTCAAAAATGCGCGCTGAAAATATTAACTTTACCGCTGCCAGATTTTTGTCTGAATAAATATTGAAAACTTATAAATTAGTGTAACCAATTATTTCTTAAGATGATCCGAAATATCACAAAAAAAAATTTGCGGAATCAGAGCCAATATTACTTACATAGCATGGTGGGAGAGAATACGGATGATAAACTCCGCAGTCCAGACAGGTTGTTTCATTAATTTATTGTGATTGGTGGTCTTGTTTGTATAGGCTTGCACGTAATTGACAAAAATCAATTCCGTAATTACGGCAAAATCAATTACGTAATGACCCCGTAATTGCGATATTTTTCCACGCATTTAAACCTATCATAACAACCAATTGAATCCACTTCTTTTCCGAATGGGACATTGAAGTTGGGTTTTCATATTCTTGGCAGTACTACACGCCGGCGGCAGATGTTAAATACAAATATCAAGGAGTGAATTCATCTAAATTTTATTCTGATTTTTATCTTTTGTGTTAGCTTTGGTTTTCCTTTATCACCTTCGCAAATTAACCGTCCCATTTTTATGCGATCAATTTTATTTTATCATTACCGACACTGGTATACGGATATTTATGAAAACGATAGTTTTTTAAAACCACCTTAGTACTGAATAAAAATTACGGGTTTCTAATTTATTAACCAACGAGGAGCGTATTCTCTCGTTTAATTATACTTGCGATTTCCTCGCTACGAAGACTTGTTTTTGCAGCGTCTTCTGCATTATCCGACATTACTGCCTTGTTAGCATTTTATAATAATAATTATTGATGTCGACTTATTGACGATATTCCGATTACCATGCTTCATTTTACATTTAATCATTTCGCGGGCTGAATGTTTATAACATTATTTGCGATAAATTTAGATCAAATATTATTTATTTGAGTATAATTTAAATATGGAACTTATATGATATGCATTCTCCGAAAATACAAAGTTATATCGCAAAACAATTCATTTTGTGACATTTATTTTACACTCACGACATTTATTTGCTAACTCAAGTCGGCGATCCTATCGGCCAAGATTGACACAAGTTTGGTAGAGTGCCGGTGGTATTCAAGTCGACGATAAACCAAAATAAGTTGCCGCATTTGGTAAGACAGATAATCATATATGGCCGAAATATTGAGAGGAATTGTGAAAAACATCATGAGCAAGGCCAAGTCAGGACTGATATATAACGATAAAACCGTTAACAGAACATCAAGATTTTGTAATAGAAAATGGATCTCGCACAGAATAAACACACTGGCTCATATTTGATTATATATGATAGCAGTTAAATTTTTAGCGGTCCGCGAGGAATCCGTCGTTTTGCTGTTTCTCTGCCGTTCTCAATCGCTTTACCGATGCCGAGAAGACGAAGTTGCGTTGGTTCATTACGCAATCTCTCTTTTGTCGTCATATTGCTATTTGATAAGCGCGACATTAATTATCACGGCGAGGTATTGGCGCGAGTGATCAATCGCTCTTTTCGCTTATTTGGTTCCAATTCGTCGCGAAAGCTCTTCGTTAAATTTCACAAGATCGTCGTGTTGAAAGGTTATGGATATTTTCCTGTTTATACCCCAAGTCTGAAATAAAACAGCCAAAAACAGTATGATATTCCATGTTCATATATCAAGTGTTGTTATTAACAATAAAGAATGGTTAGGCATTGCTAATCCACACTTGGTGGGGAATTCCCACTATTTAAACGCGTGACTATAAAATAGAAACGGAACATATATACCATAAGTAACGGAAAACTGGAACAAGTAAATAATAAATAAAAGAAAAATGGATACAAATGTTTGATAGACCATGTTTGAAAGATTGATCTCCTGCGTTCATTAGTCATTTCACCCGAAGAAGTTGAAACCGTGCGTGTTAGCGTCCATCGGTCTTAACACAATTCTTCCCCCTAATCTACGGTTATTATGTACATTGGCCATGGCATGCTAGATAAGATGCGAGGAAGTTGAAACCAGGTGTGTTGGCGTCAATCGGTCTCAACGCAATTTTATCCCTTATCTACGGTTAAGTTACGGGAGAAATTAAAACCAGGTGTGTTGGCGTCAAACGGCCCTACTCAATTCTTCCCCCTTAACTACGTTAATAATTTACATTGGCCCATGCCAGAGAAGTTGATAATAGGTTAGTAAATGGCAACGCGCCATGACTTCCTTCACCTACCTAACAAGAGAGAGAGAAGTGAGAAAAACGGCTGGCGAATACCGGAACTCTACTTCTTCTACTTGTTGAGCTTTCATTTTTCGCAATCGACGAAATTGACTGCTTTGAAGAAAGCTCGTTTCAATGCAATAATTACGACTTTACGTAATTCGTAACTTTCCTTCCGTAACTCCAAATAATTACGTAATTCCGTAAATCCGTAAATTACGTGCAAGCCTAGATAGTACTAGCCTGAGGTAAATCTCATTAAAATATATCTCACGCTATGATGAGATAGACCTCACGATATAGTACCAGCTTGAGATAGATCTCACAATATAGTGTGGTAGACCCCACGCTTGAAGATTGAAGATCTCACCCTAGAATAATATATATCTGATTTGTAAAGTCACATTCGAAACGTCGAAAACAGATTTCACTCCAGGTACCACGCGACTTTACTAGAACAAATTGTCTGAATGCAGGTACGCTTGTGTTTGAGGAACCCATCTTGGTTTCAATGACTATTTGTACGGTTGAGGTTCGTTACTGATTGTTACTATTCAGAATCAACAAATTAGCATCTATAAATTATTTTTCCAACAAAAAAACCTGCTTTATATTTGAAGCTTTAACGATATTTTCAGTTCAAACAGCATTCCCTTTATTATTGATAAAAGCAAAAAGCCTTCGGCACCCGGTATTCGCAGCCGGTCACCCATGCAAGTACAATCAGAGCCGACGTTTTCCGATATCGGTGTATTTAACGTGGCATTGTCGTAGGCGATATCGACGAGACCTATTCAGTTATTTCGATTTAATTTTTGCTTGATACGAGAGAGAAGTGAAGCAGAACTTAATCAAATGTGGCATCAGCGATAAATTTTTAAATTAATCACAAATTTTAAATTAAAATACTAAAGACAATTTTTTTTCATTGCATCGTCCCGAGGGCAAATCTATTTGCCATGATTCGATTTAAATTAGCGTTCATGTTTTTTCTAAAGTCAGTGAGATGAGAGCAGCTTCACCAAACTCTGCCAAGATGGATAAATATTTTTGCATTGCAATCTTATTCTCGTTTACTGTTGCTATCAATGGGGGATTATTAACTGGCTCGGGTTAGTGCTGACTGCTGTTTTGCTCAAAGTTTGTGGACGTAGTTTTTATGTTGATAGTTTTCTTTCGTTTAGACTTTAGAGCAGGGGTTCTTAACTTGGGCTTCGCGAACCCCCAGGGGTTCACGAGAAGATTTCCAGGGGTACTTGGATGACAGTCGAGTTATTGAATGTTGCTGTTTTTTAATATCCTTTATTACTACCAGAGGAAAATGCGTGCCCATTGAAACTAGACGCCAGTTGAAAAGTAGATTTTCCCTGATCTTACGTTGTTGTGATTGTGACGCAAAAATGTGGAATTCAAGGCTTTGCGTACAAACTGTGAAATTTCTAAAAACAGCGTGCTCCGAGCATTGGAGAAGTGATTATGCTTATTGAAACTTGGGAGAGATTTTGAGAATTCATTAGTTAGACAGACGATAAAGGCAGTAATATCAACAAGACGATTTAATTTAGTTAGAGATGGTCAATAAATTGGTGTTGCAACAAATTGTTAGTCAATATATCACAATTTTGTTTTGGTGTCTGATTACCGGGGGTTCGAATTGATTGTTTCGTGACTCGGGGGGTACTTGACATAAAAAAGGTTGAGAACCCCTGCTTTAGAGCGTCGGAGAATTCCGCTTGACTGACAATTTTTAAGGTTGCTTTTTAATCTAATAGTTGTTTTAGTTTTCGCCACACTTATTATAGACACTATACAAACTGTAATTGCGAATTAAACTGAAATTAGATTTTAAGAGTGAAAAGAGGCGCAAAATGAACATTAATGAATCCCCCTCGATATATTCTAAATATATGGATAATTAAGAAATATTATTTTCTGTTTCAATAAAAGAGGCGACTTCCGGAAGCTGTAGGTTTGGTCACTCAGGTCTATGCGAGCCGAATTTTCGACTTTTAACCTTTCGATTTGTTGGGAGAACCACCGGCTGTCTGTCACTTTTATGTCAGATTAAGCCAGGACTGGGCAAGGTTTTTGGGTCACGGGCCAAAAATTCTGCCTGCCTAGAGTGGCGGGCAATGTAAGTGTAACGTAAAAAGTTACATTTTATGAACAATATTCACAGTTTTACAAAAGCAAAAGTGGAAAACAATAAGCCTTGTGCCCAAACTATATTTGCGCGCAATGTTTAACAAATTCCTTGAGCTATCTTTTAGTATCTAAAACACCAAAATTTGGTTTTAGTTCCGTTATGGCAGCATCTGGCGGGCCAGATTGAATTACCCAACGGGCCGGATTTCGCCCACAGGGTGTAGTTTGCGCTTGTCAGGGTTAAGCTCTCGAAAAAATATTGGGACTCTTTAAAAAAAGAATTCCACAACAACGCGTAATTCTATCCCAATAACAATGTCTGGCCATCATTGCACAGGACAATTATCGTTGGAACGATTTTCTTCATTCGAATGAAATGGCTGTATTTCTATGTTCAGGAGATTCATGCACCACGGAATGCTTGGACACAAAAGAAGTTTGCTATGGATCGGATATGGACTCATGTTTTTGTCCAGCTGGATTTAAAGGTGACAACTGCGATGAACGTAAGTTAGATTGAATAATGTATAGTAGATATACGCAGTAGTGGGATTCAGCCGGTTTCAGCCGTTTGTTGATGGAACCGGCTGACAAAAATTGAATCCCACCACTGGATATATATAATAGGTATCGTTAGGTTATAAAACATTTAGAAGTATAAACAATACGACATCTGAAAAGGGGGGAATTGCTCTGTGAAGTTACAGTTTAGAATAATTATGCTTTGCAGTTTGGAAGCGTGTTTTGCAATTTCGTTTTAATGATGGAAATCGCCGGAAATAAACTTGAAAAATAACAATTGTCGTCTAAAATTTTTCTTCGTACATTTTGTAAATAATTTCCCAATAAAGTCAATGATCTCATCTACTAGTCCAAAATAACCGGGATAATATTTTCCAAACGACCTATAATTTCATGAACTTTCACAATTTTGAATTTCACAATTTTACTATTAAATGGAAATTTTAGTAAAACTGCAATTCTATAAACGTTTTGATGGTGCTATGAGCAAGCCTTAAATAGGAACTTTAAATTAGATAAATAACCGCTGCACAAAGTATATTAAGCCGTGATTGAAATCGTATAAATATGGTATTCGAAATATTATTAAATCTTGATTTTTTTTCCAACTTTCAGCCAACACCGATTACATTGACGAAATGTGTCCGTTACCAGACCCGATACCGAAATCTTGCGATGCAGCCATTAACCAATGTGGAACTTGTGCTTCGGGCACGAAATGCTGCTCAGATGGATGCATTTTATCCTGCCAACCTACTCTTCCAAGTAAGCATTGTCTTTGTCAATCTATTATCGCCTTAACATAGTGTCAGTCATTAGTTTTACACAAAGTTATGCTTGTGCACGCAGAATGAGAAAATATATCAGTTCTTTGTACCGAGTTGCTATTGCATCGCTTATTACTATTTGCGAGAGTAGGGATTTGTTCAAAGAAAATTATTTAACAATTGTTTTAAATCAAGCTTTTTGTTTTGCCTGTTTTGTTTAAAATGGCTGTATTATTTGATTCTTCTTGTATTAAATAGGTTAAAGAAATATGGATGTAAAAACTTGCCATGCGCTTATTATTTTTTAATAAACCCTTCGAGACGACACAAATATCGATGACTTGCTCCCCCCCTCATGCTGTAGTTTAATGAGTCTGCAAATGTAGTTGGTATTAGGCATAAGCCATTACGTGAACCACTATACGACGAAACCACATGGCGAAAATTGAAATACGGTCGAATAAATGAGTTTGTTTAACTTGGAAATACTCTATCCCTTTGACCTCAAAAACAAACTTTGCTAATTTAAATTAACCGAACAGTTTTAAACGTATTAATCCCTATTTTATATATAAAAAAAATGTCAATACATAAACTCGAAAACAAGCTCTTGTTTAAAATTGATTTAAAACAAACCCTATACCCTATGCGAGAATAGATTCCACTGGGGGGACTTGGGCGATGAGTACGACGAACTCCGTCGAGACGCTCGACCAGGCAAATACCATCTATACTAAGGTATACCGCACATACAGTCGCCTTCCCCAACCTAAATCGGTGATCAAAAAATGCCGTGGTTCAACATTTGGTCGAGTCCTCTTATTGTTTTTTTTTTTATTTGAGAACAAATAAAGAGATATAAATGGATTTGAGTGCAGTAATAGCTAACTATATATATATATATGAATTAGCGCTACTCCACGACTTTGGTTGACGATAAAAACATCATATTATAATATAAAAAATTGTACCCTGTAAACATTGCGACTCTCATTCGAAATGCTGTTTGAAAACAGTAATTTGTTTCGCGATGTTAAAAAAAAAAGGAACTCCGAAAGTCACAATTAATGTTTACAAGAAACAATGCTTCGCTAAGTCTCGTGAAATAGAACGACGATCGGTAACAAGTGGCACCAAGTTAATAATCATTACGTTCGGGTCGGGCTTCTCTATCGCTGACTTTTTTTTTTAATGAGGCGTTTCGTCCTTGTTTGGGCCACGAGAGACCGTGGTCTGCAAAAAAAAACAGAAGTTGCCTCATCAACACGACACATACTGTACTAAACTCTTGCAATGACAATTCAATGACTATCTCCTTTTGTTACTTACAGTTTTGAACTCGAAATGAAAATTTTGAAACGAAATTGTAGAAACGTAGGCCGAATCACGAACTTAATGGAAACGTAACTTGACGTTGCGACGTAAGCAATCGATTACTATGGTAAAAAAAACTGGATTGTAGATGATGGACCACGAATAATAATAAATTACAAACCGCCACGTCTTCAAGGTTTAGCTTGAAATCTTTATTTTCTAAAAAGCACGCGTTTTACAATGCACCGTAATTAAAGTTTCAAATTCGCGGATGTGGTTTTTTAATTACGGTTCAACTCAAATGTTCAAACTTTGGTTAAAAGAATTAATTCTGAACGCCCCGAGCAAATGTAACAAGTTCTCACGATAGGCACGATATTGTGATTTAAACCTAACGGACAATGCGTGATGTAACGGAGAAGCATAACTTACTACTAAGTTTATTTTTATCAGTTTTTATATTGAACTGCAACTACAATATTCAATGGCTAAGTTATTACAATCTGCGTTGCAATCTGCGAAGTATCATATTTGTAGAGAATAATTTCTGAGAAAAGAAGCTTTTTATAAAAAAAAATATGAGTTTCTTTGTGTTTCGATAAAATATCACGAGTATGCCATTCATTCCTCCTTTACACTATATGTGAGTGCTTTCCTTTTTATTTCTTTTGAGATTGATATATACCGGTTGGAAAAAATAAATTGATTGGACTTTCCAATTTATTTCACACCAAATATGAAGGGGTTCAGGTGGGAAAATAAAAGTTTAATATTTGGATCTTTGGTAGAAAGCCTCGGCCACTAATGCAGAAATGTGAGATTTGAGAAACACCCTGTAACCTTTTTAAGTACTGTAGATTGCGTTCGCCACGTTTGGGTTAGAGTTGACAAAATATTAACCGACATCGCTGAGTCCCATCACCGATGTAAAATTCTAACTGGGGCATAAGTGAATATTTTATGTGGGTTTTCTACAAATAGTCTCAGTATTTTGACCTTTTTCTCCCAAATTAAAACTATTTTCCTAGATAAATTTAAGGGCGTATTTTTCCTTGCTGTTTTACACAAGTTTTCTTTGCGACTTTTCGAGATACTTTGTATCAATAAATAACGCTTTTACCATTGTATGATTATAATTATCCACAATTATGATTTCTGAAACATTCAAATGCCGAACTTTGACACCACGAAAACCTTTTGAAAGTAGAAATATAGGTCTAGAATCTAGATCAGGGGTACACAACCTTTTCTTTTTAAACGGCCGCATTACGTTTTTGTAATAGACCTACGGCCGCCAGTGGTGTCGACTTTTATGAACTATATTTATATAATTTTACGAGCTATATTTATTAATTATAGAATTGGTATTTATCGATATATGTTAATGACTTGTGTCTGAAACGTTCATGAAATGGTAAAATTTAAACAATTCTAGGAAATGAGGGTTATTAGTGGTTAGTATTTTTATCGAATCGGAAAATTTTAATGATAAGGGATATTCGGATTTCATATACAGTACGAGGGGTCGACACTTACTTCCGCTGGAAAATACTATGAAGCCAAAGAGGTCGTTGACAGCGCAAAGAATTTTTACTTTGCTTATTACGTTATATTTGCTGATATTATTTGTCAGCGTTTGTTAGTTTGCATGAATTTGATGAATATCTTCCCGCAGATTCCACCTATCTCACGAGTATTACTAATCCTTCCGCCGCAGCGGACAAACGAGAAAATACCTAAGCGATCATAGTGAACAGCCCTTTCAGGGGTAATTGAAGAATTCGTATTTTTGACAATAACTTTACAGGGCTAATTTTATTCAAGTCGCTGATTGTTTTGGTAAGCTTGATGTGGTCATTTAGGCCGTAAACATCGATATTGTGTTCGCAAACTATATTTTCGAAAATTCTCACTAGTGCCCTCTTACACAAGTGTGTTTTGTGCCTCAAGTACGTCAATAATTTTTTTCCGCTGGACCTGTGCGTCCAATGTGAAAAACTCATTATTTTGCTTATGATAATAATAGAATGAATCTGCAACTCAAAATCACCGTGACTTTCGTTCTAGGAATCCGCGACCGATAAAAAAAATTTGGATATTGTGAATCTCCAAAATTTACCAATTAAATTGCTGTGCTTGAAGCTATATCACAATTGTCGATTATATCAATATAGAAAAACGTTTCAAATTCTCGTAACGGTCACGGATTAAATATTGAGGGCAAAATAGAAAATCATTATTCGCTGAAAAGGCTGACTTTTTCAACGAGTGGCGTCATCGCGATCAGGTTTCGCACAATATCTTCTTTACATAAACGTCGAAAAAAAAAGTCTAATTTCATCTGGAATTAAAGAGCCGCTTCTCTTTTGGCGATATCCCGCTTTAGAGATATGAAAGAATATTCAAAACTGTTACTTTTTTAGGATACTGATAATTTATTTTCATAACAGACACAAGTACAGCTATGATTTTCCGTAACAGTCAAGCACCAACATAAAGCATAAATTATTTTACACACACAAACACCAGCACGGCCGCACATTTTACCTTCGACGGCCGTACGATCGCAGGTTGTGCACACCTGATCCAGATGGTCTGATTCGTAAAAAATTGAAGATTGTTGCAATAAGGTTATTGTAAAATATTACATTTCCAGAAATTCGATGACTATCTGCGAACAAATAATTACTATGTTGTAATTTAGATAGTAAAGCTGAATAACGCAAGTATGCACAACAATGTGTCGTCTTCATCTATTTTCGTACCGTTAATCTGGAATGTTAATCTCATGTAATTTATTGCGCGATGTTAGAACTTACAAATGACCTTGGACGTCGATGCTTCATAACCACTTTTGTTCCCCGTGGCTTCTTCCCTCCTAGTGAAAATTGCGTTCAACTTTATTCAAAAAACCAGGGGTCGGCAACTTTTTGTCGCTCGCGGGCCAAAATTAAGGCTGTAAGTCATTGGCGGGCCGCACATATTTTTAGAAAGTCGAAAAACCGAACGGATGGTAATTTTTATAATAAAAATCAAGCAGTGATACATCTCTCGAATAGAATATAGATTTATTTCCTCATTGCATTTCATAAAATTCCATTTGAATGTTTTCAGCGCCATTGAACCCTTTGCACGTAGCATCAACTTTTCTGCGTTTTGTTGCCATTTGCTTAATGATAATTAAATTATATGCCTATTAAACGAGTAATTGTGAAATATATAATTGTTAGGTTATAATATAATTGAGTCTAAAGAATATATTCGTCAAAACGGATGTTGTGTTACTATAATTTAGTGAAGCGTCGCGGGCAGGATTATAGTGCTACGCGGGCCGGATCCGGCAATTTCATTTTGAGCGATGCGTGTCTGCTTAGCATTCTTGCGTTAGTGTGGTATATTGTGCCTAATATTTTAAACATGTTCACTAAAATTCCCAAGGCTTTACCAGTTTATGGATTATCGAGAAGAAATATGGTTTGTTCGAAAGAAAGAGTATTTTCTTATGAGGAGGGTAACGTTTTCGGAATTTTAATTATCGACTTGGTTATCGAGAAATGGTTAGAAATTGTGAGTAAGTTAGAAATTTCCATCTATCGGCGCGTATTTTTTTCGCTGCCATGGGAACAAAACATCAATCCGGTCTTTTGATGAAACGCACATTACAAGGATGACGGAATAACCCACATGAAAAATTTCATCCAGATTGGTCCAGTCGTTTATAGACTACGGATGGGCAAGGTTTTTGGACTAGGGGCCAAAAGTTTTGCCCACTTAGACTGGCGGGCCATGTAGGTGTGACACTCACTGTGACGTAAAAAGTTATATTTTATGAACAGAATTTTATTTACAGTGTTACAAAAGCAAAAAGTGAAAACAATAACCTCACGCCAAAACTAAATTTAATCGCAATCTCAACAAAGCAATCGCAATCTCCTTGAGCTATTTTTTAGCCAAAACATTAAAATTTGGTTTTAGTTTGGTTGTGGAAATTGTCAACCAAAAATACAACTTAGCCAGATGGGTTCAACCGTTTAGAACCTACATCTAAACAGACATACAGAACAAATGAGAATAATGTTATTCTAGAGCGGAGATCCAATAAATTGCGTACTCGAAATATCAAAATTATCGAGAGACATAATCTTCATAATTCCACGATATCGGATTGAGCGACGTAGACATGCAAGATCGCTATCTGTTTACGTTGCTTGTGCATTCATCACATCTCAGACCAGGAGCTTATCGATTTTGGATGAATTATGTCGTATAACTAGCTGGTTATTATTAATTAGTGATGGGACACGCGGTGTCGCTATGGAGTCATATCGGATGAATCGAAACCGCAGTTTCTGTTTTGGGCGATTCCCTAACCTTCGATCGATAAGTCTTCGGTCTCTGACCGATATTCTCGTTTTATTGATGTTGTGACCTTTCAGTTCATTTTTATTAAGATTTACCAACCTGCACATCAACCACGGATTGTCCAGGAAATGAAATTTGCCACATATTGGAACCATCGCAGAATATTTTGTATGTGTCCATTTGGATTTACAGGGGATGATTGTATGGAAAGTGAGTATTCGAATTCTCGTTTGTAGCCTGGCCGGTTGGGCATTTTATTCTATTCCGCTTTGTTGTTTTTATTGTTTAAAAAATGTACCAAAATATACAGTTTTATATTATATATAATTCATATATATTGTGCATGATCCTATTAGTGAGCAATTGTTCTCAAACGTTGGGGCTCGCCCCACAATGGGGACGTAAATAATTTTTTGAAGAGCGTGAAACTAATTAAAAATATTAGTTAGCTTTGATTGCAATTTTCTTATTTTCAAAAATTTTATTTGTTTCATTATGTACGTTCCATCCACGTATTTTCACCGTGTTTTTTAGGGAAAACATACTTTCGCCCAACTATCTGTTATTTGTAGCTTATTGTTAGCTAGTTATTTTTTAGGTGGGGCGCAAGGATTGTCATATTATAAAAAATTGGGCGCGGTTTGGCACTGTCATTCAGCATAATTTTCTCGTGTTTGCACTCATTGAAGATATCCTAATCGATAGATGCCGCTAATTTGCCATCTACTTTAAAATATTCAAACGGAAAGGTCCGGGATGACTCATTTTGAGTCTTTTGCGACCATTCTTTAACTGCCATGAGTCACTGTTTCCGTTTTGTAAGATTTTTCTTATATGTGATTCTTGCCTTGCATTCTGGCACGATGAAAAAAAATATCTTAATCTGACAAAATTTTAATGTTTAAAACTAGAACCTGCAGGATACGACGACAGATGTCCTCTTCCGGACGATCCAGTCGATCTTTGCGACATATCCGGAACATTCGATGAATGTTTCGCTGGTATTCCTTCTAGCATGTGTCCGGATGGAAAAATTTGTTGCTTAAGATCAGATGGATGTTTATTCGAATGCATTTCAATAGGTCAGTACTATAACAGGATTACCATATCGTGCTTATTTCTAAGATTTGTGCTTATTTTCTAAACCAATGTCTTATAAAGTAACGATGTGTTAATTTCTAAGAAAAGTGCTTATTTTTGAGTTTCGTGCTTATTTTGTCTTAGAAACATGAATGAATTGTTCATGTAAGCGTTTATATTATTTGATAATTATTATGTTACGCACATTTTGGGGTAGATGGCCTGCACCTCTCATTAAATAAAGGCACCGCGGGCACCAAGTCGCCCGTGAAGACCACACGAGTCGCCCGCAGGTCTGTTCCGAAATAAGTTACATCAATCAATTTTTGTCCTGCTATTCTTGTACTGATTACACTTATATGGGAACTGGGAATGGCACTATATTAGTTATTTTAACAATCAACCTGATTTTAACTCAGCAATGTGACAGGTTATTTAATAGTCTTCAAATTATGACATCACACAGTTATCAACTTCCACAAATACGCGTTTTTTCGAGTTCAGATTTAAGTATTCTGTGGCGTCTAAAGCTGCCGCAAAACCACGGCGGTGTTTCCGAACCATGGCCCAATATGGCTAAGCCAACCCCCACGGCGACATACTTTTTAGCTGCCACTTACCAATGGAGAGCTGCCGTTACCGCGGCAGCAAATTGAAAACCAATGGCAGGTGAAATTTTGCTGCCGGTCGGCCGTAATGACAGGGCTGCCCCCGATGGTGACAAATATTGGGTAAATATTGAGACTATTATTTGGTTCAACCGTTCAACCTATCTTTGTAAATCAACATTTTTTCATATGTACTTCAACCAGAAACAAACACGGAACACGCCTTTCAGATGATCTGCAAGTCTCGCTTAGTGTTACAGTGTCAAGTAACGCGCCGCAGTACAACACTCTGTAGCATTTGATAGTACAACTGTTAAGTCCATTTTATCCTAGGCAGAGGGTAGAGTGCAGAGTGTTTGTAAATAACCCCGGTACATTTTGGTTTTCTAGTATATTCTAGTAGTGATGACTTTAAAATCAATTTAAAAACATTTTTTTTAAATGCAACGCAAGTGTCATTAATAGAAATATATTTCAACGTTGTGATAATCGTTTGATTTTCTGAGGAATCCTAGAGTTTATTAGTGTCTCTACTAGACTAAATACCAGTAATTATTAATAATTTAGGCTTAATCGAGTAAACTGACTTTTTTAGAAGTGTACATTGAACTGGTAGCCCTTGGCTTTATCTGTACCCAGAAAGTAGCTCTCGGCTTCGAAAAGGTTGGTGACCCCTGGTCTAAAGATTGCGTGTGTCTGTGATTTTGTGGCTTTGCATGACCTTCCGCGATTTTATCGCTGCATGCAACCTCGTTCAAAGCGAATTCTAATAGAACATGTGCGGACAAAAAATTGTAGTGTGAATGAGCATTGTGTATGATTTTTTTTCTCATTTTAATTCTGCGGTTTTGCCGTTGTTAAGTACCCCCAAAGTAACCTTTCGCCACCCGTGCTTATTTTTGGCTCTAGGCAGAAGTTAACCCTGACTATAGATAATGATGCTTTTCGGTCAATACTGTACTTTATAATGATTTTTAAGAAGTTAGGGTAGGATATACATATTGATCCCGGGGGAGAGAAAAGCCGATAAGTCGGCTTAATTATATGGCGAAACACGGCGCTCGTCCGTTTACGTCGTATGTTTTATGTCGTATTTTTTGAGATGCAATGCAATGAGGAAATAAATCCATATTATATTCGAGAGATGTATCAATGCTTGATTTTTATTTAAAGTATTTTCCTGTAGGAAAACTATATTCAAATTTGACAACCCATGCAAAAAAATTCACATCGATGTTTGAAAGTACATAATATGAAACATCTTGTGTGTGCGAAGAATCATTTTCGAAAATGAACATAACAAAAACACGCTGTGAAGGGCGGCAGAACTCGGATTAGTGATAACCCATTTAAAAAAGATTTAATCGTGGCCTCGTTCAGTGTGCCGCCTAATGTCGAAAATGGGACCTCCAGTAGTATGTGCACCAAGATGGCGCACCACCTGAACATAGTATGTGTGACCGGTTAGGATTCAGGCTGTGCGGCATCTTGGTAAACAAAATGTATTAGGCGTGATGAAACAAAACGTCACAATGTCATTTGTAAATTTTTTTCTCTAAGTAATACGACTAAGAAAGGCGCTGCTTAAAATTCAAAAACTCCAACTTCTGATCTGTGTGAAAAAATGGTGATTCATCAGCCATCCGTTCGGTTTTTAATTTGTGTGGCCCACCAGATTTGCAACCCTTAATTTTTGCCCAAGTAAGCAGGAGCGCAGCCAGGATTTTTTAACGGGGTTTGCGTTAAAATTAAAACAGTGCGTCAATTCACGACGTCGTAAGGCGTTCAACAAACCAAAAATTGTAAGTCTGTTAAATAAATTTACCAGTTGCGCCTAGCTCGCCTTCGTCCATAATCGCGTGCTTTGAAATGATGAAACTCGGTAGCAGTCTCGACCCAACTTTGGGATGGGGGGTTTGGTCATTCTGACTCAACTAGATCTGCGTTTTGTATTTATTTCAGTTCTAGTCCTATTAAAAAGGTAATTGTATTCTAACTAATATCAATGTCTTATCTAAGAGGTAATAGTATTCTAATTTCTAACTATTATTAATAGCGTTTTTTTAGCCAGCTGATCTGAAGGTAATATGAAGGCGCTTTGTGAAAAATTACTGTGCGTTTTTTGCTAGGCAATCTTGTAAATTAACCCTCTACAAGTCAAAGTCAACCCATTTTTGTCAATATGTAGCATATCGCGATACATTACAAGCTGTTTGCAGAAATATCTATGTTTAAATCTTCGAGATAAAATAATTAACCAAAAACTGCTTTTATTACAGATAAGAAACCACCACCAAAGATTTCAAAACTTGCTCTAATTGCAATCCTAATGGGTTTAAAGAATCGTCCCAAACAAACTGTACGAAGGCCACCAATTGTACAAGTAGCACCGTATGCACCATATGTACAAGCAGCACCACATGTACCATATATACAAGCAGCACCACATGTACCATTTGTTCAAGTAGCTCCTGCACCCGTGCCAGTGGTACAAGTAGCACCAGCACCCGTGTCAATTACTCCATCATTTACAGGTACTAGAGACAAAAATAACATACTTTTTAATTGGACTTTTTTTTTGTGTGTTTCATTATAGTCCTCTTTCGGTTATAATCAGGGCTGTTTTCGATAAGTTTCAACAAGAAAAAATATTAGTATTCAAAAGCCTTTTAGTCTCAATGGTTGCCCAACTTAACCAATGGTTGCCCAACTCACCAACTTAATGATTGAAATACACACTCCCGACCACAACAGGTAAGGATTCGACCAACTGTGCACGCGCGCATTGCGCACAGTTTTTCACAAAAATAAACTTACAAAATGGCGAAAAAAGAACAAGTTTGTCGGGAGAAATTTCACTAATCTACAACAATCATGAAACGCTCCTCATAAACAATTGAACAACAAGAAATGGGTAATCCAAGTTTAGACTGCGGCGTATGGAGTCGTAGTTCGGCATATTTTCACCAGAGTCGGAATGTCGCTGCTCGTTAACCAATCTTGGTTCCCCGCAGCTTCCCTTCCCCAGTAAAATGTGTGTTTAATTTTATTTTTTTATCAATTTCGTATATGGAAAAAATAAACTTAACTCTGACTATATTTTATTCTAGAAAGTCGGAAATACATGGAATTCCTAATTCTCCAGATTCTGACTTGAAACATAATAAGTGATAAAATAAATCAGATCTTTTCAAATGCACTCAAAATGCATTAACTTTAATAAACGTTGTTAACATTTTACTAAAGAAGGCTTGTGTTTGCCAACATTTTAGTTGTTGAATTTTAATTTCTCGGTGTTCAGAGCTGGTGTCAAAATATTTCAGCCCGATGGTACTTCTGTAGTATGCGACCAAAATGGTGGACCCCGGAACGTAGTATATATATGTACCAAGTTAGGGTTAGGCCATAATTCGTTCATAATTCGTTTCGTGTCAAGTTTTTGTTCAATTTTTTTCTCGAATATTTTATGTTGAAAACAACTGCAAATCCAATGAGAACATATCTAAAATTCAATCAGCCTTATACGGATTCCCAAAAATGGTTTGAGAATTGACTCGTTTTCGTAATATCAGGCATCATTGGTTAGTTTTACTCGGTCAAGATAGCCGCGATTCGTAATTTACTATTCAATTTGAAATGCCCATCCCTAGTCAGAAGTAGTTTAGTACGATTCGACCAGTAGTATCTTTGAGTAGGAAACAAAGATAACAGTTTCAAAAATGTTTTTTTTTCTTATAATATTACTGGTAAGCAAAGCATTTTCTTCACGAGACATATTTTCCTTATATTATTTTATCGTTTGATATATTTTAGGTGCAGCATGTGGTTACGGAGAGGCTCTTATTCATGGATGTCCAGATGTGTGTCAAAGTGCTCGCTGCATGATTCATGACGCTGTAATTTGTAGAGTTCACCCTTGCAATGGGTGCACTGCAAGGTGGTACAACCGCCAGGGACATGATGTCACAGCATCCTGTAGTCATGTCGTGGGATAAGGATGGATGGAAAAATAAATCCTATCGGTGAAAACATCTACAGACTTATTGAAATTACGATCTCAAATTAATTGAAGAAGCAACTAAATGTAAACTTTGACACTCGATAAGCACTGAAAGTTTGAAAAGATTTGATTTTGACAACATTTTGATTTAAAAAACTTTGACATTGTAAAAAACAACAACAAGCTATTATTTCAGTCAAAATGTTCAGTCTCTACAACAGCCCTGGTTGTTTATTAAAATTGTAATGTGATTGATAAAAGATTTAGTGAGACATATATTGTATATTCTAATAAATTCATTGTTTGGTGAAGTATTCGTTGTCACGAGAGTTGCTTTATGGTAGTTTTATTGCGCATTTGTTCCTGAATCAAAGTCGCAGGATGATTTGGTGGCGCTGCGTAGTATGTGCAACAAGATGGCGGACAGCTGAACATAGTATGTGTACCAGGTTAGGGTTAGGCCATAATTTTATTCCACTTTTCCCTATTTTAGTTCTAACACGAGTTCGGGGACTAGCCAAGAGACTCCCGTATCTGTACCTGAAATTATGGCCTAACCCTAATCTGATACGCATACTACGTCCCGGTTTTCTCAATCTTGTTGCACATACTACTGGAGTGCGGATTTGGCAATCTTTTCATAGAGCGAAAATGAACATAGCAGCGAACCGAGCTTTACCTGCTACCCAGTTTAGAAAAAAATTTCATATTCATACTGGGGTAGAAAGTTCATAAGATGACTTGATCACAGCAATCAGGTGACTGATCGCGATTTCGTAGTCACCAATCCTACCATACAAACTGCTCGATTGAGAAATATATTGGGTGCCCTCGAAGTATGTGAACCAAGATGGCGGACACCGAAACACCGAAAAGTAGTATGTGTATATGGTTGGGGATATGATAGGATTTACATATTTATCCCGGGGGAGAGAAAAACCGATAAGACGGCTTAATCATATGATGTACCACGGCCTGTCGTCCGGTTACCATTTCATGTCGGGTATGGGATTAGTTAGTATTTATTTTCGAAAGCATGGACTTGATGGTGGAGGAAGCCGTAACCGACGAGCAGTTACGTGAACCACCATACGTCGGCGAGGAGTCAAGCAATCTTCTCGCACATGACCATACCCGCGTGGGATTCGAACCTAAGAACCCACGCAGAGTTGTCAGAGGTGCGGTGGCGAGCGTATTCCCAACGCTTAGCACGATGAGCCAGACCGCCGCGCCAGGTTTCGTATATCCGTGTCAGCCACATTTATCACTTGATGATCCACTTATTTGTAACTTCCAACCACCGGACATGGTTGAAGTTGCCCTTAATTGAGCCTAGGTGTGGCATAAATCAATACGACGTCAGTAATCCTGAACATAGAACCGTTTTTTTTATATTTCTATAACGACTTAATAATAATATTTGTCCAGCGATAGGTAACTATATCAACCACACTTTTCTCATTAACACGTTTTCTCTCAGTTCGAGAACAGATTACAAAAACTTATACTGAAAAAAAAAAACGGGGCGTCACACGAGAAGAGTGTTGTACTATTCTTTACCAACCAGTAGATGGCGTACTACGCATTCTTCACCGAACGCTTGACTTGAAACTGTCGTTACCAACCTTTTTCGTTATATTCCCTCTCAGACTATTGCCCCTCTTCATTCACCCCTTAATATGCATAAAAATTTCTCGATCTGTTCCATCTTTAATGGATCATTAGCTGGTACTGTGTGGGAATCTCGGTCACGCTTTTGTACAGTTCGAGAAGTTTATGTTTGCATAAATAAACATATTAATGGTAATGAAGATATGTAGTAGTTGTACTATAGCTAATACTAAGCCGAATTCCGCAGGCTGGGAAACTAAAAGGTACTCCTGTAGTATGTTAAACAAGATGGCGGTCACCGGAACGTAGTATGTATACCAGAGATGGTTAGGCCATAATTTCAGATGCAAATACTACGGGAGTCACTTGAGTCTCCGAACTCGTAATAGAACTAAAATAAAAAAAAATGGAATCAAATTATGACCTAATCTTAACCTGGTACACATTCTACGTTCCGGTGTCCGCCATCTTGGTTCGCATACTACATGAGTACAGACTAAAATAATAAACAAATGCAAGCTTGGTACGATATTACGCAAGTAATGAGCCCGTTTCTTCCTAGGTCATTTCCTGCGCAAAAAATAAAACGTGTGCCACGTGAACGCAGCATTATGACGCAGGTTCATCGGTGTGTTAAGATACTATTCCTATCGTTGTATTTCAATCGATAGATCTGCTTGTCTTGGGACTTGTTCTGGGCGGAGATTCAAAACAAAAAATGACGTAGTACTATACTTCAACATTCAATGGGCCTAAAATAATAATCCTGTATAAGTGTATTATTTATTCGAAACTTCCTAACGAAGTTTAGGGGTTGCAAAACGCACACCAATTTCACTCAACGACCTATATCAGGGATGGCGAACCACCGACCCGCGGGTCACAAAGTGACCCACCGCGTTTTATTCGTGACCGGCCAAGGCACGAATAAAATAATAAAAAAATGCTAATATATCAGTGATAAAAATTGATAAAACCGGCCTTAATAATCTAACAATACCTAAACTATTATAATCTACCGTCAGTTGGGCAGTCAGGGCCGCGAGGGCTCATATTCAAATTGTTAATTTCGGGCCGGTATGGTAATTTTCAAAACCCCTAATCTTGGACGCATGTCTGCACCGCTGTGAACCATTATTCAGCTATTGGCTCTGACATCGTTTATTACATGACAATGCAACTGATATGTTAATTTGTTGCTACGTCTGGTCTCTTTCGGAAGTTCATCTGCAGACTGTTTTAGGGGTTATGCGAGAACTAGGAGCTACTTTGTATTTTATTAGTTTCCCGTCCACAATACCGTTAAGAGAACAAAATCTTTCAGACTTGAAATAAAAGCCTAGAAATCTGAAATAACAATGGCGCAGTGTAAAAGTGCCTTAATGAGGTTGAAAGTATAGAACACTGTCAGGGTGGGATACCCTCCAAACTCTTTGGAACCGTAAAATAATTTACCGCATCATACTAAACGTTTATGGTAAATCATATGCGTGTTTTCGTACTCTAATTTCATAAAATCGAGAGCCATAAAAAGTCCCTAATAGAAGTGCTGCATAAGTAAAGCCTGAAACTACACCAACAGAAGCCTAAAAGATTTGCTTTAGAAGTTTATTATAGATACAAACATTGATCATAATATATCTGTGACCCACTCTCTTATGTTCCGCAATAAATATATAATTTTTGACCCATTCATTGAAAAAGGTTCGCCATCCCTGACCTATATCTATTGTACTTTTTTTCGAAACACAATTATAAAAAAATCTCACGATTGCATAACAATATCGACTTGGTTTTCGATACCCGAGAAGGGGCGCACTTGCATAAATAACAATGTCGTTTCAACAGGGGTCGCAGGAAATTTAAATATATTGGATATAGGGTTGCGCGATCGATTTTTGGGAAGCTCCAATTTATTCTATACATATCGCTATATTTGAATTAATATTCCCAAAACCGCGTGCGTAGTACTTTGCTCTGAGGTGAATCATGGACTTTGAAAAAAACTGCAAATGTCGAATTAAATATATATGCCTGTATGACGCTGATGTGTTGGTGCTGGGGCTTTCGTGAACGTTCATCGATAATATTTGATTTTCCTCAATAAAATAATAAACAAACAAGCCGGTAGGCGCCCAGGATCTCCGCTGATAGTTGAGGCCTGTACTCAATCAACCGGTTGCCAAACATAGAAACTTGAGGATCTTTATCGGCGGCGCGATTAAGCAAGTGAGCGGGTTGCTAAAAAAGTCAGTTCATTTCAAGCTCTGCACGTTTTGTAAACATTCTCGCGTGACTGATATACGGTGGCTAAAAATTAAAAAAAAAAAATTCATTATAATCCCTAAGGCTTCTCCAGTTTATGGACTATCGAGACTAAGGACGACTTGTCGGAAAGAGTATCTTCCCGTGCGGAAGGTAGCGTTCTTGGAATTTCAATTTACAACTTGATTGGCGAGAAAACGGCGATAAGTTGTGAAAAAAAAAATAATTCACAACGATTGGCGCGTTATTCCTTGTTGCCAGGGATGGCAATTTCCGCATACTAAACTATTCCAAATACATTCTAAAATTATGTTTTCGAATCTGAAATTCCGAATACATTCTAAAATCGAAAATAACACATTTTTGTTTTAGTTGAGAAAAACCCAGTAAATTAGGAAATAAGCTTCAGAAATATCAGAATGAAGCCACAAACCAACAGTATATGTACACAAAATAATTGATAGTTTATAGCTATCAATAAAAAATAATAGCAACTTGTGACACAGTCAGTTTATCAAAATTATTCACTTTGTACAAATGACCATATGAAAAGATAGCCAAGGAGTGGTCTGACGCTTTCTATCATTGGTACCATGATATTACGATAATAGTCAAGTCTAATACTACTTGTATTGAGATAATTGTGTATATTTTCTGAGAGTAATAAAATTTATTGGCAATACAGGCAACAACCATCGAAAATCCATTATGCCTTTAAAAATTCTAATATTTAAGCCTAGAGTATTCTACTACCTACCAGTATATTTGTATATTAATTCATGTGATCCATATTGTTATTATGTAATGTATAACATATTGTTGTGTTTGGAATTAGAAATAAATTAGTAGAGAATAGATGACCACCACTGCCAACCGCGCAGCCAGGATTTTCGAAATCTGAAATTCCCATTGCCGCCTATAACACCCACCGCGATTCCGCGCTCGTCAAAAGAGCCGTCTCTTCAGCGTATAATGATCATCCTGTTACGTAAAATATTCAATCCATGACAACTACGAGATTCTTAAATATCTTTATATATTAATTTAATGTGTGACACGTAACTCGCGGTTGCTTCTTCTTACGTCAAAAAAAAAACATTACTATTCGGTCCACGGCGATCTGTGACCTAAAATTACGAGATAAACTGCCTGATGTATTTATTTTAATAAGTATTTTTGCAATCTTGCCAACTCGTTATCGCCGTTAGAAAAATCTCAAATAATTATATAAAATCCCGTTGAGTGTAGAGTATAATTCATTTCATACAATGAATATACATATAAAGTTTAGCAGTAAATTAAAAAATACATATTCATCGCCGCGATTATGCCACCTGTTAAAAGAGTCGACTTTTACAACAAATAATATAACAACGAATATATATTTTTCTGTTGTGCAAAGTGATGAATTCGTGACTGACACGGGCATATTTAAAAT